GTGGTGTCATCATAGCTCACCACAGCCTCAAACTCCTGGGCTCAAGCAATCCTCCTGCCTCAGCCTCCCAAGCAGCTGGGACTACAGGTGCCACCACCACACTCGGCTAATTTCTCTATGTTTAGTAGAGATGGGGTCTCGCTCTTGCTCGGGCTGGTCTCAAACTCCTGAGCTCAAGCGATCCTCCCCCCTCAGCCTCCCAGAGTGCTAGGATCACAGGTGTGAGCCACTGCATCCAGCCTTTTTAAACTATTAATGTTAACTTACTTGTATTTTGAGAACTTAAAAACTCCTAGGGTATTTACTGTATTTTAGTCAACAAACACCCTCTGTATGAACAGCCAAAACCCAGGTTTAAAGGTTTTCAAGTCTTCAGGGAAGGAAAACTCAAAAGGGGAAGGTAGAGCACCTTCATACTCACGGAGAAAAACATCTGCGGTTCCATAAAGCTTGCTCCAGGTCTAAGCCAAATTTCGATATACACAGTATGAACCTGCGATAGAGAGCGGCACAGCCATACATAACACACACACACACACACTGTCACGTGAGACCAAGCTAAGGCATTTACTTAGCTGAAAGTCTAAAGATAAAATGTTTTGACAGAGTATATACGACAAGCATAAAAATTAAACTCTTTATTTCATTGTCACATTTCATTTTTTTCACCCCTGTGCTCCCCTCCCCCACCAGTCCACATTTCATTTTTAATTCAATTAATGCTGAGAATTTAAAAGATGACCTTAATGTTACCCAGTCATCTAAAGAGCTGACCAAGATGAACACTATTTACAGACTCAAAAAGTGAGTAAAAACAAAGGAAAATCCTTAAAAAAAAAAAATGCAACTAAAGATCTTAAAACAAATAACATAGCACCCAGCAAGCAGGAGGCAGCCCAGAAGTTGGGTTTCTGATGTACTCAACAGAGCACGTCGCTTCATCTCATTTCTCTTTTGATGATAATCTCTAGGAATCCTACAAGTGACGAGATGCCACGGCTTCCTTGGGTCAAAATACTCAGTGTCATTAACAAAGGATACTTAACCTCCGCCTGCCTGCTTCGCTGTGCAGATCCGCCGCCATGAGCAAACCGAGCAAGAGCTCGGAGGAACGCAGGGACTGGGAATGCAGGACCCAGACCTCACCTTCGATGTAAGCCTGGCTGTGACAGCGGTCCCCACTGACCCCCTCCTGGTGCTCCGACCCTGGGTAATCCCTTCCCCAAGGGAGGCTGTCACTTGCATCTAGAAAAAAGAATGCAGGAGAGGTGATGGGATGTCCCTTTTGATATGAAGTTATAACAGACTGTGACCTCTGTCTTGCTCTCGCTCTCTTCCGCTCTTCTTGCCTCCTTTGATGAAAACAGCTGCCGTGTTGTGAGCTGCCCTGAGGACAGCTCCGCGTGACAACACAAGGTGGCCTTTGGCCAACAGCCGTAATAAACTAAGACCCTTAGCACAACAGCCTGTGGGGAACTGACTCCTGCCAGTGACCTCATGCGTGACTAAGAAGCAGGTCCTCCCCCAGCAGAGCCCAGAAAACACCTTGACCACAGCTTTACGAGACCCTAAGCCCAGGACCCAGCCCAGCCACGCCCAGATTCCTGACCCACAAAAACTGTGACGTAATAGATTTGTGCTATTTTAAGCAGCTAAGTTTTGGAGTAATTTTTTATGCCACATTAGAAAATTAATATATCTCAGTAAATAATAGCATGCTTAAAGAGATAATAAATCATTTGTGTTAAGTCTGAATCAGCATTTACAAATTACTTGTACAGGGTCAACTAAGTCAACTGTGATCTCAACTCCAAGAAAGCCAGAACTTCACCACTGGAACAGGAGAGTTTAGCGCCCCACACCGATGCAGTTGCTCTAAGGATTCTAGCTAACTACAGGGTTGTCTGGCTCCCTGCCCTTGTCATCAAATACCTGAAAATCACACTCTATTGTATTTCTTCAGATTTGCAAGTCGACTATAAAATTTCTAAATTTCTAGCAAGTTTTAAAACAAATAATGGACAACAAGGTATATATGTTTGTCCTCTTGGCTGAATTTACATTTGTACAGTTAAATATCACACCTAAAAGTGAGCTCTCTTACTTATATGAAATGTCCAGAATAGGCAAATCTACAGAGCCAGAAAGTGGATTCGTGGCTGCCATGCCAGGAAAGGGGGAACGACTGCCAACAGGCAGGGGGATAAAAGTGTTTTGGAATTAAACAGTGGTGATGGTTATACGATCTTGTGAGTATATACTTTAAAATGGTGAATTTTATGGTTTCTGAATTTTATTTCAATTAAAAATTTCAGTGCGCTCTTATGGAGGAAAGCTAACTTGTCCATTTAAACATCTCCCCAACTAGTTACATTCCATTCCCAGGCATATGAGAATGGACTGGCGTCTGCTATCAGAGCATGCATAAATGACAACATGACAATGGCCTGCCACCATGGCTCAGGTCTCACTACAGGTTTGTTTGTGGGGTTTTTGTATTGTATCTTCCAGGAAAATTACTAGCAAAAGTCCTCCCCCAGGAAAGGCTTTTCTCCTTTTAAATGTGTTTTTGTTTGTTTACAAAAACAAGAATGTTAGATTCTTGTTTTTAAGACAATTTGTACCTTGTTTCATAATACTTAATTTGCCACTCCTTGCTATGAACTACAAGGTAAGAAAACTTAACAACAAAACATTTAAGAGGAAGAAATCTTTTCAAACACAAGATTTCATTTCCGCATCCCGCTATCTATTCCAATGCCACCTCCGACACACGTGGAGAGTGGCACACGCCTCCGAAAGTTACACAGTCAAACATACTCCATACCCAGAAAAAATCTTGACATGATTTATGGCCAGAATTTTGAATGAAGGCAGGATTTTTCAACAAGAACAGGAGGGAGAAGAAAATATCTGCATTCTATCATGATTATAAGGGACTTGAGTAAATGAATTAAAAAACAGTATCTTTGAACAACTGTAGTGACAACAGCTTTCCCTTATGCCACTTGTTTTAAATCGCTCCTATCTGTAAACTTGAATACCAGCTCTAGCTGACTTAACAGTCTTAATTCTTTGACTTTCCATAGTGAACATGATCCAGCATACTGTGAAAAGGAAAGGCGGCTGCCTCCACCGAGCGCTGCGTCCTGCCATGTTCTCCGACGAGGCGCCGCCCCTCGCTGGCACCTGCTCAGATGCTTCGGTAGTCAGAGCCCCGGGCTACGATGGCAGCGGCTTCCCATTCCACAGCGAAGAATGAAATAGTTCCAAAAAACCCAAATATCACCATGACCAGGAGTTGCCAGTGAAGGAGAAGGTAGTTGCTGTAGAAAAATGCCACGGCTGCACAAATAGACTAAAAACAAACACAACAAATCACAATGTGCACACAGGGGTGCTGCGCAACACCGCAATTAACCCCACTACTATCCAACCCACAGGACCGCTGGGACTGGCGGCGCTTTCCATCCCCTCTGCATCTAGATGTGCCCTCACTGGTCACTAATGCACAAACACACACGGTAAATTTCCACCTACAGCAGGTAATGAGCAAGCTACAATCTCTGCTATTTAAAATAGCCTTTTGTGGAAAATGGGAGTAATAAAGTAATGTCCCAAGTGAGAAATACACTTGTGTATATTACAAATGAATGGAATTCTGGTGTCTAAGTAAGGAAATCTCCTATCTGAGCCTTAGAGATCAGAATGCAAAATCTCTTACACTAAAGAGGCACAAAAATCATACTGCTCACTGCTTCCTAATTCTACTCACAAGTCCTTTTACAGGATGCCCCCAACTTTCTTTAAAAACCACCATACTAGTAACCAAAGAAAACAAAGTAATACACAAAGGAAAAGGACTCTACTTTAAACGCAGTCTGAAGAGGTTACCTGAACAAACTTGAAGACAGCAAAAGCTGGCGCGCTGTCCTCAGAATAGAGAAAGCCTAAAATACTAAGCAGTTGGGTGTTGAAGCAGCTGTCTCCAAGACCCAACAGAAAACTGCAGAAAATGGCAACTTCTTTGCTAAAGAAAACAAAAATTAACTTAGTATGAATATTACCAATATTTGCTAGAGCCATTTAAAATGTAAATGCAACCCACCCAACAAAAGCATTTTACCTTCAAGTTTTAAATATTTATTATACTATGAAAGAATAAATATTAGAATTTACAAAGTAAGAATTTATACTCTTTATACTGTAATAAACTCTGGTCTCTTAACTAATGGGGAAGGAAAATGTAGGTTGCATATCCCTTATCCAAAATGCTTGGGACCAGAGGTGCTCCAAATTTCAGATTTTTTCAGATTTTGGAATATCCGCATTATACTTACCAGTTAAGCACCCCTAATCCGAAAATCCAAAATCCAAAATGCTCCAATGAGCATCTCCTTTGAGCATCATGTTGGCACTCAAAAAGTTTCAGATTCTGGAGCATTTCTGATTTCAGATTTTCAGATTAGGGATGCTCAGCCTGTACTGATTTTGGGGCTGGGCTCCCCTTAGATTTGTGGATCTAGATAGAAATGTCTACATTACAATGAATTTCAGAGTTGAGTGCAACAAACCAATATCCTCAAAACTCATACGAGCCTCGCTGAAAGGACTGCGGGGGCTCCCCGGCTGCCAGAGCTCCCCTGCTCTCTCCGTTCTGCTCCTCCCTAACTCACTGCTCAAAACGCAGAGACAGGAAATTCAAATCAGGTACTTATGTGCTCCTTCAAGGATCAAGAAAAAGATTTAGTGGGCAAAAGGTTAAAACCAACTATTACAAAAACAACTTGGCATTCTCTACGGATTCCTACTTAAATTCATTCTGACTCTATTGATACTTGACAGACAACCTTATGAAGACAACGGACTCTGAAGAGGATTAACCGCTCCACTTAATGTAACATCTCGCCATCTGACTCCCCCACCCTGGTATTATAGAAACGGCAGTCACGGTACCTGGGTTTGATGTAAGCAATGTTGTTAGTTCCCTCAATGGGTGCAATGGGAGCATCTCCAGGCATGTTGAGAAATATTAAATAAAAAGCTATAAAGTGCACCAGGATGCCCAACAGCACAACCGGGTTTCTACCAAAGCGATTATTCTTGCTCAGCAGGCCAAAGAGGCTTCCACCTATAAATCAAGATGATAGAAACATCACCAGGACTGCCACAACATTACACAGCTAGTCATGAGTTATAACCAAGGAGGCAAGCTGTAATTGAACATTATCAAACGTTCAATATCTTCAAAAAATCCAACACCTCAGCACCTGCAGACAATGCTAATGATGATCAAGCATCAACTATTATACCAAAAAAATAAGGTATCAAAATTACTTGCATTTATATCCAGGAACATTCTTGCATTTCTTCTCTATGAATTATTACACCCACAAAACCATCCCCCTTCGATCTGTCACTTATATGAAAGTTAATAAAAAGGATACAACTTATCTCTACTATCAAGTTTTGTTGTAACCATAGCTGAATGAGCCCAGTGACACACTGAAAGGCAAACATTGTGCAATTTCAGAATTACGTGTGAGCTCCAAAGACCGGACAGAAAGGCTTATGGAGGGTCAGCAATCAGAACAGCTTAGAATGTCTCCACAGCGAGGGGAGAATCCTTACTAACAAGAAGAGAAGATCTTTCTAACCTAACAGTGGGAGACAATGGGGCATTGCCTTTACGGTTCTTAAGTGACTTCTACCCTAGAAATCTATCCCAGCAAACCCATAAATCAAAAGTGAAGGTTGACACTTAAAAAAAAAAAAAAACCTATCTAGAAAATGGGCAAAAGATATGGACATGTTTCACCAAAGAGAACATACATGGGTAAACACACGAAAAGATGCTCAACATCATTACCCATTAAAGAAAGGGAAATTAAAATCACAATAAAATATCACTACACATCTATCAGAATGGCTAAAATCAAAAATAATAAGAACACTGAATGCTGGTGAGGATTCGTAAAAACTAAATCACTCATACATTGCTGGTACACTCATACATTGCTGGGAAACAGCCTGGCAGCTCCTCTCAAAAGTAGGCTGCAGGCCAGGCACAGTGGCTCACGCCTGTAATCCCAGCACTCTGGGAGGCCGGGCGGGAGGATCGCTTGAGCTCAGGAGTTTGAGACCAGCCTGAGCAAGAGTGAGACTCCGTCTCTACGAAAAATAAAAAATTAGCTGGATGTGGTGGTATACACCTGTAGTCCCAGCTGCTCAGGAAGCTGAGGCAGGAGGATCGCCTGAGCCCAGGCACCTGAGGCTACAGTGAGCTATGATCACACCACTGCACTGTAGCCTGGCTGACAGTGAGACCAGACTCTGTCTCAAAAAAAATAAATCAATAAATAAAGTAGGCTGCAGCACAGGGAGAGGGAACCCAGGCAGAGCCTCACGGCCTTCCTGAGCTGAAGAGACAGGGCTGTGAGTCTAGGGAATACCAGAGTGGCTAGAGTTCATAGACAAGGGTATCAGAAAGGATAGCTGCACAGAGAAACAATTCCAGAGATCTTCAGAGGGTCCCCCTGAGCCTTCAGCCGAGTACTGATCAGCACATTATGTGAGTAAATGAGCAGAGGCCTGGAAAAGAACCAGCCAACAGGATTGGCAGTGTTAGTGCCCTGCCCTGGGCTGGGAACAGTGTCTGGTCCCATCAGCCAGACTGGAAAGCTTACAATTCACAGGGCACTGGGTGGAGCACACAGAGGGGTCTTCTCCCAGGAGAAGGGAATAATTAGCCCTAGACTGAGTGGGTGCTGCTCCAGTCCCACCCAATGAATCTTAAAAGCAGGACATGAAAGAATCATGCTGTTTTCAATTAAATGAATTACATCTAATAACAAAGCTCAATGATATTTACAGGAATAAAAGAAATCTAGTACTCAACAAGGTGAAAGTCACAATGTCTGGTATGCACAACAAAATATCACCAGGCATGCAAGGAAGCAGGAAAGTAGGACCTACAATGAGGAGAAAAAGCGATCAAACGTAGAATTATCACGTAACCGAGCAATTCCACTCCTGGGGATGTGCTGAAGAGAAATGAAAACATATGTCCGCACAAAGACCTGTACACGAATGTTCACAGCAGCGTTATTCACAATGGCCAAAAAGTGGAAACAACCCAAATGTCCATTAAATGATGAGTGGATAAATAAAATGCGGTGTATGTATACAGTCAAATGTTATTTCGCAATAAAGAGGAATGAAGTACTGCTACATGTTATAACATGGATGAACCTCGAGAGCATCATGCTAAGTGAAGAAGACAGTCACAGGCCATTTACACAAAATGTCCAGAATAAGCAAATCTTCAGAAAGGCAAAGTAGATCAGTGGTAGCCTGAGCCTGGGGAAGAGAGAGAAGAATGGGAAGTGACTGCTAACGGTACAAGCTTCTTTTTTTTTTTTTTTGAGACAGCGTCTCACTTTGTTGCCTGGGCTAGAGTGCCGTGGCGTCAGCCTAGCTCACAGCAACCTCAAACTCCCGGGCTCAAGCGATCCCCCTGCCTCAGCCTCCCAGTAGCTGGAACTATAGGCACGTGCCATCACACCCAGCTAATTTTTTCTATTTTTAGTAGAGATGGGGTCTCACTCTTGCTCAGGCTGGTCTCGAACTCCTGAGCTCAAATGATCCTCCGACTTCAGCCTCCCAGAGTGTTAGGGTTACAGGCGTGAGCCACCACGCCCGGCCCAAAGTTTCTTTCAAGGGGGATGAAAATGTTCTAAAATTGATTGTGGTGACACGGCACAGCCCTGTGAATATATTAGAAAACACTGACCGGTACACTTTAAATGGGTGAATTTGGGGGCCTGCGAGTTTTATCTCAATAAAGCTATTAGGAAAAGAAAGAAAGAAAAACTACCCCAGGACTGTCACAGATGTTAGGAATGAGCAAGACATTAAAATAATTAATACTATGACTGTATTCCACATGTTCAAAAAGTTGAGACATGAAAAATACAAAAAAAGACCCAAGAACGTCTAGAGATGAAAACCACAATGTCGGTAATGGAAAACAGATACACCAGATAGGATTCACAGCAGATTCACACTGCAGAAGAAAGGATTAGTGAACTACAGCTGTCCCTCAGTATAGGAGGGGACTGGTTCCAGGACTGCCACATGCACCCAACTCTGCACATACTTGAGTCCCCCAGTCGGCCCAGCAGAACCTGCATGTTGGAAAAGTTGGGCCTCCAAATACTTGGGTTTCACATCCCATGAATACTGTATTTTCCATCCTCGTCTGGTGAGAAAAAATCCGCATAAAGTGGACCCTTACAGTTCAAACCTGTGTTGTTCCAGAGTCAGCAGTAATCCGAACTACCCAAAATGAAGCAAAGAAAGAAAAGAGAGTTTCAAAAATCAACAAAGCATCAGCAGGTTGTGGGACAACTTTGAGTTGTAACCGGAGGCTGTGAAAGAAAAGGAGGCAGGAAAGAAAAAATATAGGAAGAAATATGGCCAAAATGTTTCCAAATTTGATAAAACCTATAAATCCACACAGGAAAGAAGCTCGATGAACAAGAAGCACAAGAAACATAAAGTAAACTATACCAAGACACATAATCAAATTCCCCAAAATGACTGATAAAGAGACAAATCGATTAGGATACAAAATTCAACATGTAAAAATCAACAGCATTCTAGATATAAGTAATAACCCATTAGCAAATATAATGAATGAGAAAACCCCATTTAAACAGATAGAGATAGAGATAGATCATTTAGGAATAAGCTTAATAGGAAACGCTCAAAATCTGTATGAAGAAAATCACAAAGCACTCCTGAAAACCATAAAAACGGACATGGACAAACGGGGATGGGGAGAGGGACTCAGTGTTCAATGGAGACAGTTTCAGTTTGGGAAGATGAAAAGAGATCCAGACATCAGCTGCACGACAATGTGAATGTACTTAACGTTACTCAAGTTAACACTGAAAGACGGCTAAGATGGTAACCTTTATGTTATGTGTATTTCACTACAATTTTAAAAATACACAAACAAAAAGTTCAATGAGTTTTTTTAACGGAGCTAGGCAAGTTGGTCTTAGTTAATTAGGAAAAATAAACAGTAAGAATAGCTAGAAATGCGATGAAGAGGAAGAGCTCTGAAGGGGACCCGCCTCATCAGATACTACAAACATACTACAAAGCCTCTGTCACTAAAACAGTGTGGTACTGACACATGAGTAAACTGACAGATCAATGGAATAGAATACAAAGCCCAGAAACAGAATCAATTGTGTATGAAGATCTAGTCTATGATAAAGGTGGTGTGTCCCATTGCTGCGGCAAAGCTAGTGCTTTTTAACACATGGCATTGGCATAACCGGCTCACCAGCTAGAAAAAGGTAAAGTTCAATCCATTCCTCACACCGTATGTAAGGAAAAATTCCATATAAATCAGAGATCTAAATAAAAAAAATAAATTATACAACAGACGAAAATATGGGCAAATCTTCTTTCACCTCAGTATAGGGAAGAACATTCTAACTACGACTCAAAATCCAGAGGCAATAAAAATAAAACACTGGTAAATTTGATTACATAAAAATAAAAACAAATATATGGCAAAAAGCACCATAATGAAAGTCAGAAAACATATAATAAACTGGGGGAAATATTCACAATATATCACACAGGAAAAAAAGGGCTAACACTCTTAATTTTATAAGGAAAATATAAAACTGAGGAAAAACAGATTAAAAATCTTCTAGAAAAACGGGAAAAAAGACTCCAATAGAAGCCCTGGCATGGTGGCTTATGCCTGTAATACTAGCACTCTGGGAGGCTGAGGCAGGAGGATCACTTGAGCTCAGGAGTTTGAGACAAGTCCGAGCAAGAGGGAGACCCTGTCTCTACTAAAAATAGAAAAAATTAGCCAGGCATCGTGGCACGTGCCTGTAGTCCCAGCTACTCGGGAGGCTGAGGCAAGAGGATTGCTTGAGCCCAGGAGTTTGAGGTTGCTGTGAGCTAGGCTGACGCCACGGCCCTCTACTCAGGGCAACGGAGAGAGACTCTGTCTCAAAAAAGAAAGAAAGAAACCAGAAAGTCAGGAATTCCAAGACACTTTCCTTAGATATTTTAAAAGGAAAAGTTGGGAGAGACCACGTGTCTATTTATTTGTGCTTTCTATCTATGAATTATTTGACAAATGTTTTATAATTTAGAGTAGTGACAATAGAAAAACTAAAACACACCCATTTGGGTAAAAATAAGTAGAAAAAACAGAAATTCTAGGACAGAGAGGTGAAATACCTTAAAATTTCTATTTTAACTATAACAAACTGGTATTTTGAATGCAAAGACTTTTTTTTAAACCAACCTAAAATTTCTCCAATGCCGATGAAGATGCCAGAAAGTCCAATAAGGCTTTTCTCTTCTGTTCCAAATTTATTTATAGCACCAATACAGGTTCCATATACACCAGAGAAGAAAGTCAATTCCAGACCTTTAGGAAAAAAAAAAATCAGATTTAATTTAACTATACATTCACATTCTCCTTTTCCTGATTTTCTTCACGTCTAGTAGTATTTAAGGTATATATACATAAAAAACACAGAGAAAACAAAACTCACAGAGAATAAAGTGTTAATCCCCAAGCAGAGCATAAACTGATGCCATATAACGGATAAAATGGAATTAGCCACATGCTCTGGACTAAATATTTGTGTCCGCCCCTAAAATCCATATGTTGAAACCCTGATCCTCAAAGCATGAGGGTATCTGGAGATGAGGCCTTTCGGGGGTGATACGGTCACGAGGGTGGATTATAAAGAGACACCAGAGCTGGTTGTCCTGTCTGCTCTCCGCCATGTGAGGACTCGGCAAGAAGGCAGCTGTCTACACACCAGGAAGAGCCCTCGCCAGAACCCAACCATGCCGGCACCCTAATCTTAATAACTGTCTAAGTCAGCAAGTCTATGGCAATTTGTTACAGCAGCTAAAACTAAGATACCACGAGATGGCATTTGCCATGTATTTCAGATAAAAGTATACAACTCAAATAAACAGGCATCCTCATGTCAAAACCTGCCACTCTGCGTGCAGGCAGGGGATAGGCAGAGGATATAATTAACATAACCTTGAATACTAAATAATAGTGAATACTAAAGTACTCATTATCCTTATGAATAGCTTTCCAGGGAAACAGGAACATTCCTATTCCTGCTGAATTGTACTCCTGGTGTACTGGAAAACCAACACATGCCATCTACTGTTGCTTAAAGGCATAATAACATTGTAATTAAACCCTGTTTCCTAGGAAGAGAAAATTACTAAGATTAGAATAAAAAGTTAGGGTAAATCAGTAGAGGACCTTGATTCCTTAATGCTACAAAATCTTAATTGTGAATTTTAAAGATGTTTAATGTTTATTCTATTTCTCCTAAAAAGAAGAGTTGGTACCTATGAGGCACATATATGCCAAAGTAGTAACTGGCACATTAGCACCTTATTTAAAAGGAAATGAATTCCCTCATCTTTCTTAAGACCTAAGGGTGCTCCACCTATTGTCACATCACATATGATCATGCCCTTCTATTTCATTAGAAATTATCTTAATCCACATAAAGTTACAGAGATTTATTCATGGTTATTTTCTGCAGTGCTCTGTGTTGCACTTAAATCATGGGTCTCAATGAGCCACGTGTCCTGGTTTTCTTCCCACAGTGGATTTGGGCTGGCCCTGTGACTTGTTGTCACCAAGAGAATGCGGTACAAGGGATGCTGGGCTAGATACAGGCCTGAGCTTTAAGAAGGTCTGGCAGTTTTTCCTGTTGCCCTCTGTGCAGCCTTTCGCCATTAACAAAGACGTCTGGCTATGTGGCCAGGTCAGGAGATCTCGTGGAGCGGGTCACGCAGGTGGACAGAGGCCCTGAGACTACATGCAGAGAGAGACCCAGATCTATATCTGACCATGGTCAAGGAACCAGACATGTGAATGAAACTGTCCTGGAAGTTCCAGCCCCAGCCACCCTCTGACAGAAGCCACAACAGACTCCAAGTAATTTAATCAGAAGAACCACCCAGGGGGCAGCGGTGGATGATGAAAAATTACTTAATGGGTATGATGTATGTTATTCAGGTGATGGATACCTTAAAAATCCTGACTTGACCACTATGCAATCTATACATGTAACAAACTTGCACTTGTACCCCATACATTTCTACAGATTACAAAAAGTAAGAACCATTCAGCTGTGCCAAGGTACAGAATTGTGAGAAATAATAACATGACTATTGTTTTCAGCCCTATGGTCATTAAGCAGCAACGGAAAACCAAAACAGCAATTCCATTACCTGTGTAAGCAGTTGTAATACTAAGAAGGAGCATCTCCTTGGTGGTGCATAACTTAAAAGACTTTTCTGTAAAGAAAAAAATTTAGGAATACTTAACTAGATTTTAATTAAACAAAAATTCTAAAACATCCATTCAACCAAAACATCCCTTGTTAATAATGCCAGTAAATGCTCTGGGATACAAGTTAAAGTTTTAGATTAAAATGCGTAAGGTATGAATTAAATCTGCGCTATAAAGCAAAAGCTTATTTCAAGTGCTTAAATATATCCCAGAATTCATTTTCTTCAACACAGTTTCCAGCTCTGACAACAAAAATAACACGAAAAGGAGGAAAACAAACAGAATCAAACAAAACAACAAAATACTTCAACAGACATGATTAAAAATTAATCACGTGACTAAAGATTAATCATTAGGTGATTAAAGGAGTCAACAATTGGTCAAGCACTGACTTTCCTAAAGAATTATCACAGAGCAGCTTTAAGACTGGACTCAAAGTCACAATCACCAGGGAGCTTTTTGACCACACAGAAGCTGGAGTACCACTTCTCAAGACTCCAACTCTAGATCTGAGGACTGGAACTTTAGTTGTGCACATTTGTTTGTTTATTAATTGATTGATTGAATGAGACAAGGTCTCACTCTGTTGCCCAGGCTAGAGTGCAGTGGTGTCATCATAGCTCACTGCAACTTCAAACTCCTGGGCTCAAGTGATCCTCGTGCCTCAGCTTCCCAGGTAGCTGGGACTACGTGCCTGGCTAATTTTTTAAAAAAAATTTTTGTAGAGACAGGATCTCATTATTGCCCAGACCAGTCTCAAACTCCTCCCCTCAAGCAATCTTCCCACTGTGGCCTCTCAAAGTGCTGGGTGTGAGCCACCATGCCTGGCCTCCAATCACTTTAATGTTTGTTTTTACATTGTTCAATTTAGTTGAAATCTGCAATGGAAAATGTATTTCTAGAAACTCCACAGTTTGGCCAGGTGCACCTGTAGTCCCAGCTACTTGGGAGGCTGAGGCAGGAGGATCACTTGAGCCAGGAGCTTGAGGTTGCAGTGAGCTATGATGATCCCACTGCACTATAGCCCAGGCAACAGAGTGAGACCCTGTCTCAAAAATAAAATAAAAAGCCCGGGCG